AAAATAATGTTTGAAATCTAACTTTAAATTGTGAATGATGTGTGCAAAATAACTACACCCCCACACAATGAAATAATGAATTTTGTGCTACATTAGACCACTGCATGCTTTCATAGTGTATTGATTGTTTTTGTGTGTGTGTGTGTGTGTGTGTAATTTAAAAACCCAAACCAACTCTGCTAATTAAGCTCTCCTTGGCCAGGAGCTCCCTTGGATCTCTGACAGTTCCTAGTTAAAGCCTAGTTTGTGGTTTTTGACAGCAAACCAAGACCCTCTTGTTTGCTCCAGGAAAACTGGCTGGTTTTAGTCCCTGGCATTATTCTGTGGCATCTTAACAAGTCACCGATTGTCTTGACCATGACTTACATTTGTGCCAGATTTTTCTTAGCCACTTTGTTTTGGAGACAGGTAGTAATACTAGCGATAAAATTATTATTAATTTGGCTTTGATTTATGAAAAATTATCTTGAAAAAAGAAATAGGTGGTATATTGAGATGACCAGGTAAGATCAAAAGCAACTGAATCAAATTGTTTGAATTAATACATACATGTGTTTGGGTACATATTTTAACTCTTATACTTGTTGCTTCTTAGTCCAGAACTCAGAAGATAAAAATACTGTAGAAAGTGACATTTTACAGAATGAAATGCTTAAACTGTACTTTTCCCAATGATGGTACTTAATGTGCATATCATTTAGAAATTTTTACAATTTTGTTTATTTTTTGACACTTTTAAGAATAGGAAAAGAGGCTGTCAGAGATCTTCAGTACTTGGATTATCGAATCCACCTCATTTCCCTTTTTGTATCTCCTTGCCAGTAAAGAAATGGCCTAAAATTTTCCATCTGCTTGGTATGGTATTTATAGGAAGTTTCATAACACTTTGATTTTGCTAATATATTATCCAAAGTAATTAGTTTTTATAACCCTTATCACCTTACCCAGTCCAAAATTACACTCAAAAGGAAATCACAAACTTTCTTTTTGAAATTAGAAATATTATTTTCTTTCCCTGTATGGTCTACTGGTGTCCCTTAACTAAAACTCCTCAGTCTGTGACCTTGAGAAACCTAGAGGAACAGCAGAGTATTGAAGATCGACCCCTCCATCGTTACCCCAAAAAGGGAGCAAATACTCATCCTAACAGGTAAGTGTTTTTATAATTATGGCAGATGGTGATTGAAGCAAAGGCAATTCAGAACTGCGAGGGGGGGGGCATGCGAAGGCAATAATTTTGAATGTTTGACATTTGTTTTGAAACTACCTTACTACCCTATACCCTTTACCATCTGTCTGTTATCCCTCCCAACACCCACCTCTGTCTTCCCACAGGGTTCCATTGTCTGCAGTTCCTGTTTCTCAGGGGCGGAGCTGTGGGAGGCAGCCATGGGTGCCATAATAGGCACCTGCGGCCAGCACAATGGGCTGTGGGTGCTTGTGGGAGAGACAGATTGATGTATTGTGCATGGGGGAGGAGGGCTGTCACTTGAATCCATGTGAACCCAGGCTTTAGGGGCAAGGGAGATTGACAGCTTTTGTAGGTTGCATTTCTTTTTCAAAGCTTGGCTTTAATAGACAGTAAGTTTGGGGCCCCAGGCTTTCACTCCCATAATTCTAACAGGGCAATCACGAGCATTCAGCATTTCTTTTTACCCCCCTTGTTACGCATTAAATGATTTCAGTAAAGGAATGTGCAGCATTAATTAGAATTTGCTAGCAGATACCAAGGGGAAAAGTTTCTTCACAACAACTATAGGAGGTGTCATTTGTACAAAGACTTTTTTGTTTTCTTTCCCCATTACATTATCACTGCAATATGTAAGGTAGTGATTCTTTTCATTTAAATTAAGTGGAAAGCTACTAAATCTTGTTTTATTCTCCAAAAAGAATAAGGTCCTTAACACTTATCTTTTAACTTCTTTCATTTCCTAAGGTTGATGTTTACTTTTGCTTTCAGTCCGACCCATTTACTGGTCTGTGTGGTTGTGTATCCAGTTTTGTGTACCACTTAGCTTTCACAATTACAGGCAACCCACTATACTGATATATAAGGATTGTTACAAGGAGAAAATAGCTACCAATAATATGGGAAATCATTGACACACTGGTTCCTTTTTGGTAATGGTACATTGAGAAATGTTAAAAATTTGAGTCTTCTGGGTTTGTGACCTAACTTATTTTCTAAAACTATTATTTTTCTAGTTGATATTTAACCTTAGCCATGACATCAAATTTATGGATGAATGGGGCAGCAGCTAAAGACTATTTTTTCCCATAGAAAACTCATTCCCAAGCCATGTCAGTTTAAAAAAAAATTAAATTCTCCCCTACACACACAGATAGCATCATTTCCGTATAACTAGTAATATATATATATATAAATCTTTTTGTTTTGTATCTATTTTTTATTCTTGACATTTTAGACTTATATAGGAACAAAACTAATCTCAGATTGGCTATATCTTGTAAATATATGCTTTGCCATCTGGGTAACTCATAAAACATTAAAATCTTGGTGCGGTTGTTCTAATATTTCTCCTTTGTGAAATCATTTTCTCAGTGGAAGGGGTTGAAGGCTAATTGAATTAGAATTTTTCCCATTTAATTGTTTTATTTAAGTATGTTAAGGGAAACAGTGAAAAATATTGATTAAGTCTACCATTATTTCTCAGAAAGAACATATTCCCACAGAGTAGCCTGGCTCTGTCTATAATAATAATTTGGTGCAATGGCTTTAAAAGTAGTGGGGTGATAATAATTAGGGTGTGCGACAGAAATTTCAATGCTGAATTCAACATTTCACCATGCAGGGCATGAAAATTGCCGACCGGGGGCTAGTCAGCTGTAAGTACTAATTAACTAATTAATCAGGTGCTGAAACCAACTGAATGGAGGGTACCAGCCAGACAACTCATGCCCAAGCAGAGGGTTGTGCTCTTTAAAGACAGTGCAGTCTTTCTTCTTGGGTTTTAACTGAATCAGACGTGAGGAGGGAAAGTAGGATATGGTGTACTACTGTCAGTCATTTCTGTGCAAGCTTTTTACTTAGAGAAAAAAAAAATAAAAACATGTGCCTCTGATAATAACGAGGCACCATGTGTAGGGCAACCCTGAAAGCTACTGACCCCTTGGCCATGAAGTAGTTCATGCCTGTATGGGTTTGTGTGTGAGGAAGTGGTCTGGCTTCCTGGAGTTTACTTCTACAATGTATTTTTTAACATAGGAGAATGAGAAACATATCTCTTCTTTTGGGCTGATCTTGGGTCTTTTGCCTCATCCTTCGTTTATGTAAATGAGAAGAGTCCAATTACACATATGGAAAAAGGGTTTAATGAATCGTGAAAAAGCCCAGTTTGCAGAGAAAGGGCACAATCCTCTCTTCTTCTTTTTCTCTTTTAAATTTAACTTAGAAACATGTATTTCTTTTAAGGAAGATGATGAAGCCTAATGATTAGATCATTTTATTTTATGTACTATTTTTCATACTTGGGAATTAAGTATATTTTGCTGGGAGATTCAGCTTCCTTTATCTTTGTAAGGTTTTCTGGATACTTACCAAACATTCTACAAGAGAAACTGTAAAATTCTGACTTTTTTTTCCTGAATTAAAAATGATTACATTAGTTCCTCCCTTTTTGATGTTCAGTGATAATTTTTTCTTAACTGTTTGTTCTGGAATTGTCTGCAATGAAAAAGGACTGCATGGTTATAAGGGATTTGTTATTGAACCCAAGGAAAATACGTTATTTCCCATACCTTTTAAAGCTTAACTTCGGTATTGTGATGTTTTAACAAGGCAGAATTTTTAGGGTGTTGGTAAGTAGGTGCACTTTCCAAAAAGGATCTATATTTTATACTACAGCAGAAAATTCTGCTTGGGTCCCCCCACTTTCTCTCTCAATCTTGGGATTTTCAGTAGTCGAGTGTAGATCACACAGAACCCCTCCCCTATAATTTTTCTTCTTATTTTTTAATGATAAAAATCTTTACAAGAATCCTGGGGGCGGGAATCAATACCATATTCTGACCCTTACTCTTGGAATCTGGTAAGTTTGCAACTGGCCCAAAGAAGTGCCTTTCGGGGGCAGGAAGAAGGTTCTCAATCACGACTTTCAAGTGCTTTCCAGAAACCTTATCTGAGGACCTCTTTGGGCACGTGGGGAAACTGAGGCCCAAGAAGCTGGTGATGGGGGCTGGGCGCTTTTCCAGCTGTGACTCCACCCCTTTCTAGAAAAGGGTCTGCTTTGGTCCACGAAAACACTTTATTCGGGCACCTAAAATATGCAAAACTGCTGGGGTCCAGACTGCCTGCCTACTCAGGAGGGCTGCGGTCTTTCCATTCTACCCCCAGCCTTCCCGGATCAGCGCCCTGGATGTGATCGACACCATGAAGTTGCCCCATAATCCTCTCTGGCAACATAGGATGTAAAATTTGATCAGCTCATTGGATGAAGCCGACAAGTCCCAAAAATGTGTGAAAAGGGGGCCAAGCAGTAGGCAAGCGCCGCTTTGAGGCAGCGCTCCAGCCGGCCCCCCTCCGAGTTCTCAGTGCGGCAGCGGTGGCGCAAGCGGGGGCTGGGGTCCAGCGGCTGGCCGCTGCGGCTGCAGCGACTAAGGCGGCGGCAGCGAGGCCGCGGCGCCATAGGGGGGCAGTAGGAGCGAACCTCGGGGCCGGAAGGGGGCAGCGCGGCGGCGCCTGCGGCTGCGGGGTTATCTCCGCGGCGGTAGAGACAGCGACCGCGGATTTGCCGGGGGCCGAGCCGGCGGGGCTGGGCGGGGCGTGCACCGGGGCCGTGGGGCGGCGCGCGCCGTAGCAGTTAGCCTCAGGGCCCTGCCGCCCGCGCGCCCGCCGGGCGGCGCACGAGGAGGAGGCGGCGGCGTCCGCGGCAGCGGCGGCGGCGGCGGCGGCGGCGGTGGCGGCGGCAGCGGCCGCGGAAGGAGGAGGGGAGCTCGGAGCAGGAGGTGAGGTAGAGGTGGAGGAGCGACAGTAGGCGGCGGAGGAGGAGGCGGTGGTGGAGGAGGCGCGCGGCCTGGAGGAGGAGGATGGAGGAGCAGCCGAAGGAGGGCGAGGCCGAGGTCGCGGAGCACTGGTTCTCCAAGTGGGAGCGCCAGTGCTTGGACGAGGCCGAGCAGGACGAGCAGCTGCCCCCAGAGCTGCAGGAGGAGGCAGCCGCCGAGGCTGCAGGGCTCAAGAGCGAGCAGCAGAGGCTCTGGCACCTCTTCCAGATCTCGGCCACCGCGGTGGCCCAGCTCTACAAAGATTCTGGGTGCCAACAGCCAGGACTGTCTATGTGGGACCCCTTCCAGAATGCAGCCATGGCCGTGACCAGCCTCTACAAAGAGAGTGGGGATGCCCACCAACGAAGTTTTGACCTGGGAGTCCAGGTTGGCTACCAGCGTCGCATCAAAGATGTGCTGGAGTGGGTGAAGAAGGGCCGGAGCACCATTCGCCGCGAAGACCTGATTAGCTTCCTATGTGGCAAAGTGCCCCCTGCCCCTCCCCCGCCACGCACCTCTAGGATGCCCCCGAAGCCACCCTCTGGGGCCGCTAGCCAAGCTGTGGCAACCGAGTCCAGCTCTTCAGTTGACGTCGACCTGCAGCCTTTCCATGAGGCCATTGCCCTGCATGGCCTCAATGGCGCCATGGCAAGCATCAGCGTGCGATCTGGCGCACCTGGTTCCCCGCCTCAAGACAGCGGTGTGGCCAGCAGTGGGCGACGAAAAAGTAGTTTCCTCGAGGATGACCTGAACCCCTTTGGCTCCGAAGAACTAGCCCTCCGCCTGGACAGTGGGGGGATCCGCAAGCGCACTTCGGCCCAGTTCGGTGATGGCATCACAGACTCCCCGTCCCACAAGCGCAACCGAATGGTCTAAACTGCCTCGATGGTCTCCATCCACCATATTGCTTGAGAGCCAACTCGACCTTCAATTGCTCGTGGGAGGATCCTGGAGGCCATCCTTCTTCTCTAAGTCAAACAAAGATTTCTATTAAGTTTACCATAAAGAAACTTTAAAAGTATTCCAGAAGAGGCCTCTCGTATGACTCTGACTTTCCAAAAATATAATTCTATTAGAGTACAACAAAAAGTACCCAGTAGTTAGCAAGATCATTTAAAGCAAAAGTATCCAGTCAGGGCGGGAGCCTGGTTTATCTTGTTCACAGTTATATTCCTTAGCATCTAGCTCAGTTGCTGGTGCTCAATAAATGTTTGTTGAATGAATAAATGAAATCTTAATTTAAAATCTTAAATGGAAAAGACAACAGGTGTTTACTTGGTTATAGGATAATTTTATCCTTTTTTGAGGGGTTGTTGGCTTTAATGGTCTTTGCCAATTTTATTACATTATGCCAAAATGTAAGATTTGACATCTTTGTGAAATCTGGAGTCTTCCACATTTACTCCACTGTACACTGCACCTAATTTCTAGAAAAAAACTGGAAGTAATACATTTTGGGCTGTGATTTGCTTTGAAAAGTAGTTGATCATTTGGAGCTTATAATGGTGTAAAGAGGTGCCATGGTGGTTGGGCAGGTAATATGTGATATTGGGTAGATTCAGTACTCTCTTTATGAAAACAGAACAGAACAATTGAGATCCTGATAAAATAAGTTTGTATCCCTAGTGGCCCGGTGGTGCTCCTTTTTTCACAGGAATGTCAAAAGTTCCTTTCTTGGAGGTTATGTCTCTTTGGTGATCTCTATTTTGAAGTGGAAGACCAGTTAGCCAGAATGAACTTCTGGTTTAATTTAAGGGTGCAGCATGGTATAACTAAAAGACTATGAGCATTGTAGGAAAAGAACCAGTAATGGAATTCTTGTTTCACAAATTATGATTTGGGGCAAATCATATAATGTCCATTTACCTTAGTTTTTCATCTGTTAAATGGAACTGTGTGTCTGCTAAGATCATTGTAACAGATGAAGTCCATTCAAGTGTCTAACACAGTGCTTGGCACCTAGGGGTATTCACTTAATATTCTCCCCTCTCTGTAAATAAAAATAAGTAAAGCAACAAAGCCCATAATATCTTAGCAAAAGCAGCAAAATAGATCAATTTAGAAATCAGCAAATATAATCTCTATGTTTGATCTAGTTGGAATTTGCCTAAATATCACAGGCCTTGTATTAATTATGAGTGTGTTGAACTTGTCACTCAGGATCACCACTTTGGATTTGAGGGCAGCCTTAGAGTTCCTGAAACTGCCTGAATAATACACTTTGCAACCAGGATAATGAAAACTTTACCTCTTCTGATCTGAAAGAATATGGGGAGGGAGGTAAGGGTGGAAAGTTTTGAAAGTGGACATCCTAGGGCACCTAAAAGGCTAAAAGTGGTTTTGAATAAGGGTGGGTATAGTGCAGGTAATAAAGGAAGTGGAGCAGGTAGGAGTGAGATTATGGGAGGAATGGTGAGAAACTTAAAAAACCCAAATCTCCTTCAAGGTCTCCCCAAAAATCCAATGCACAAAACATTACCAATTTATTAGTAAAACTTTGCCTTCATTTCAAATCAGAGTTGTTCCTGCTTCATTAATATGACCATTGGAGTAAATTTATAGCTGACCAATGCATTAAAATAATGTAACAACATAAAGTGAATCCCCTGATAGAATAAAAACCTTGGTGTCACACTTCACAAATACTGAGGGACTGTGTTAGGTCCTGAGAAGGGATTTTTAAAAAATAACAACAACAACAACAAAAAGCAGCAGGAAAGCAATCCTTATCCTCAAAAAGCACACCCTGCCTTGGAAGATAAATTATGTAGCCAAGAAAGCACTTCTCTATCTGTGAGGAAAGTACCCAAGGACTTTGGAGAACTCAGAAGACAGAGGCTTTCCTTGCTAAGAGGGTCATAGCTTCTAGATGAGATGACTTTTAAACCAAGCCAAGAAAAATGGGTAGGAAGAGAGTTTGCAGATGATGCCAACAAAGGAAGGATATCCTACAATGTTTGAGGAGGAAACAGTAAAGAAGGTAGGGGAGGTAGGACCAAAGTGTAGAAAGTCTCCAATACCTGGCCCAGTGCTTTAGATTCTTTCTTGGGGCAGAGAGTAATAGCACCCATACTGCTTTAGGAGTGGTTTGTCAGAATACTTGCTCATCAAAAGGTGAGACACTAGAGCAGAAACAGCATGGCATATCATAGGATGCTCTTCACCAGGGATATTGTTATTTGGTTAATCCAGCTTGCAGAGCTGTGTACCTTGAATAGGGCTTTCTCCAGGGAGCCTTTAGCTCACCACATCTTCCCACATCACAAACCATACAAGGTAGGAAGCACTTTCAGTGTATTCTTCCATGCTTGAAAGTTTGAACCTTTAGTTCCAGCTGTAGTATCTCTCCCAGGGCTTGCCTTTTTTCATTCTTCCTACTTGTGCTGGAGGGCCCTCATGCATTGGAATCATTGGAGCATTTTGGGCTATAGGTTTGACTGAGGAACTGCAGCAATTTTAATAGGTATGTAGGGACAGTTGTAAAAGGCTATGTTAATATGAGCTCAGGGACTTCGTTTGTCTTGCTTGCTTTGGTAATTCCTACCGTCTGGTCCATATAGACACACAATAAATATTAAATGAATGGAAAAGTACGAGACCTTCCAGACCCACTATAACTATACCTCTTCCCCTTTTCTCTGTTCACTTACTGCCTGGAAAGACATCTGAAGCCTATGCCCTAATTCCTAGATCACTGCCCCCTGCATGCCTGTACCTTATTCCTGACTATTAGATTCAAATTTTGTCCCATGACCACCTTCCATGAGAATTTTCCAAGGAGCACGTGAGATACAACTTTGAACAACCATGCAGCTGAATGAAAATCTCAGTGGGAGGGTTCTGAAAGCTACCTCCCCCTTTCAGGAGAAGGTTTCGGTAATTGTGATGCATGGTGAAGTCTGAAAACCAGTCTTGGCCCTGATTGTGAGTTTTGTGATTGATTCAAGGAGCTTTTTTTTTTTTTTTTTTTTTTTTTAAATTAGAGCATTATGGTTACACATAGCAGTTGGATTCATTTTGACAAAATCATACATGCATGGAATTTGATTTCAGTCCCTGTGCCCTTCATTTTCCCTCCCCTCTTGTCTCCCCTTATTCTTCCTCTACTGATCTTTAAGGAGCTAATTTTAAGTTGATTATTGTTGGTGAACTTTCTGTGCAGGTGTAAAGTGAATCTTCCTATTCATAAATATTATATTTACCATCATTTTGCATATTTCACACATTTTCTTTCTAGGAATGTAGATAGAAGCTTCCTCTTTGTTTTGTTGCTCCCCCCCTTTTACAGGGGCCTGAGAGAAAGCTGTAATTTCCTAACCTCTAGCTAAATATTTTATCCATTTGACCAATGCTTCCTAATAAAAATTACCTGTCAACTGATAGTTAGGAAACATTGCAATTGGATCACATGGCCTTTTATGAAGTGATGATGGAATAGAGGCCAGGGAGGTTTGGTTGCTGATTGGCCTGTGCCTTTGTGGAAGTCTATAGACTTCTACATTTAATATTTTAGTAACTTGAATTTGGTGAGGTCCTCAAAAATACAGAGCCAAAAGGAAACTTAAAGATCACCCAGGGCATGGTCAACTATTCATTTTGGAAATGGGGCAGCTAATCTTACTAGGGAGGCCCACAGTGACTAACTGGTAAGTTCTAGTCCATTGTTCCCTTCACTGTACCTCCCTTAGTTATATTGTATATGAACTTTTATTTATTTATTTATTTTTAAATATTTATTTTTTAGTTGGACACAATATCTTCATTTATTTATTTTTTTGTGGTGCTGAGGATCAAACCCAGGGCCTTGCATATGCTAGGTGAGTGCTCTACCACTGAGCCATAGCCCCAGCCCTTGTATATGAACTTTTAATTGATAAGTTGATGGTTGGGTGGTGTAGGGGAACTTATATTATGGGGCAGCTCTGGCATGGCAAACATGATCTTTTTACAGTTTGTGTTTCCTTGGGGCAAGCCATTGGAATTGTTCATTCAGAGAACACAAGTCACCCCTTGCCACCACCACAGAGCTCTAGCCACCAGCCAAACTGGACCACTTGAAATTTCCTGAAATTTCTATCATCTCTGCCTCTGGGCCTTTTTACCTGGTAGCTCTCTTGGTCAGAAATGCCTCCTCTGCCTGCCTAACTCCTACTCAACCTAAAGCCTTAGCTCAACTCAGCTTTTACCTTTCTAATTTTGGGGGATACTTCCTTGCCCTTTCAAGTTAGGGTTTAATTCCCTTTCCCACTGAAGTCCCCACTCTGGATTCATCATTGTAATTTTCAGTTTGATATTTTGTCTGCCCCACTAAACTGTAAACCATTCATTCTCATCCCAAGGGGTTCACTTCCTTAGAGAAGTATATAAAAATCTTCTACAATTGCACACACAAGTTGAAAAAGCATATTTAGTATTGCACAATACTTATATGTTTTTAATGAAAAGATTTTGAAATTATATTAAGGGAGGGAAAGCTCAAAACAAAACTTCAAAGAAACAGTTTATTTTATGGGACACTAAACATGCTTCCCCAAAGAAGTTGTGAATTTTCTTTCATAGACAAGGTTGCTGTGTCTCAGGCATCGATGGTAAGCACATGGGATCTAGGTTTAAGCCTTGACTTTCACAATAACTGGCCTTGATCAAGTATTTCTTTTCTGGGCCCTTTTGTGCTTGAACTATGGAATAGAGGAGTTAATTGTGTTAGACAATCTTTAAAGTTCCCACGAGCTCTGCATTTTAATCTGTAATGTCATTCAGTCAGCAATGGTAGTGATAACCTTCTTTCTGTGATATTCTCATTTTAGCAATTTAGCATCTGACCAGTTGAGCTCTGTGAACTCCTTAGAATAAGAACTGCTAATGTGAAACGATTCTAAGCCAGGGGACTCTCTAATGATATGGAATAGCCACTTGTATGATGGGAACATGTGCACAGTGCAGACTTCTCTGTGGTTCCATCTTCCTTCAGCAAGTCTAGAATGAAAAAACAATTCTGAATGCTTAAGAAGCACATTACAACGAATGCCCTCTTGTTTTAGCCACTGTTCTTCTTTGAAAATATGAAATTGAATAGGATGATGTTACATAGACAGATGAGTTCCTAGACTCATTAGACTAAAGGAAAACTTGGAGAGCCAGTGATTCTAAAGGCCCCAACTTTAGGGAGAACTGGAATGGAAACCATCCTGATCCATGAGCTGCTTTCCTCATGTTA